GCAGACGTGTGAGCACCCACACAGGACACATGTCCGTGCACACAGGCACGTGCACAGACGTGAGCACACACCCACAGACACGCACAGAGACACACATAGCTACACACGTCTGCATGTACGTGCTTCCCATGAATCAGGACAGCAGGACCGCGGGGCTAGAGGAAAAGCAGGAAGATTCGCTGAACCCTCTCAGCTCCCTATTCTCATGAACAGCATTTTCTTTCTGTTTTTTAAATAGAGCTTTAAGTCAAAGTTTACAGTTCATGTTAGTCTCTCATACAAAAGTTTATACACACACTGCTTTGTGACCCTAGTTGCTCTCCATATACTGTGACAGCACATTCCTCCTTTCCACCCCTGATTTCCCATGTGCATTCAGCCAGCTCCTGCTCCCTTCTGCCTTCTCATCTCACCTCCGGACAGGAGATGCCCATTTAGTCTCATGTATCTACTTGAGCTAAGAAGCACTCTCTTCACGAGTATCATTTTACGTCCAGTCTAATCTATGTCTGAAGAGTTGGCTTTGGGAATGGTTTTAGGTTTGGGCTAACAGAGAGTCCAGGGATCATGTCTTCTGGGGTTCCTCCAGGCTCAGTCAGACCATTAAATCTGGTCTTCTTACTAGAATTTGAGTTATGCACCCCACCTTTCTGTTGCTCCATCAGGGACTCTCTGTTGTGTTCCCTGTCAGGGCGGTCACTGGTGGTACCTGGACACCATCTAGTTCTGGTCTCAGGCTGATGAAGTCTCTGGTTTATGTGGCCCTTTCTGTCTCTTGGGCTAATACTTTCCTTATGTCTCTAGTGTTCTTCATTCTCCTTTGCTCCAGGAGAGTTGGGACCAATTGATGCATCTTAGATGGCCACTAGCTAGTTTTTAGTACCCCAGATGCCACTCACCAAGATGGGATGCATAACATTTTCTTAATAAACTTTGTTATGCCAATTGACCTAGATGTCCCCTGAAACTATGGTCCCCAGACCCCCGCCCCTGCTACTCTGTCCCTCAAAGTGTTTGGTTGTGTTCAGGAAACGTCTTAGCTTTTGGTTTAGTCCAGTTGTGCTGACTTCCCCTGTAGTGTGTGTTGTCCTTCCCTCTACCTAAGATAATTCTTATCTACTCTCTAGTTAGTGAATACCCCTCTCCCTCCCTCCCCACCCTCGTAACCATCAAAGAACGTTTTCCTCTGTGTTTAAACCTTTTCCTGAGTTCTTATAATAGTGGTCTTACACAATATTTGTCCTTTTGCAACTGACTAATTTCACTTAGCATGATGCCTTCCAGATTCATCCATGTTATGAGATGTTTCGCAGATTTATCACTGTTCTTTACTGTTGTGTAGTATTCCATTGTGTGAATATAGCATAATTTATCCATTCATCCGTTGATGGGCACCTAGGTTGTTTCCATCTTTTTGCTATCGTGAACAGTGCTCCAATGAACATGGGTGTGCATACATCTATTCGTGTGACAGCTCATTTCTCTAGGATATACTCCAAGGAGTGGGATTGCTGGATCATATGGTACTTCTATTTCTGGCTTTTTAAGGAAGTGCCAAATTCATTTCCAAAGTGGTTGTATCATTTTACATTCCCACCAATAATGTATAAATGTTCCAGTCTTTCTACAACCTCTCCAACATTTATTATTTGGTGTTTTTTTGATTAATGCTAGTCTTGTCGGGGTGAGATGGTATCTCATTGTAGTTTTGATTTGCATTTCTCTAATGGCTAATGATCATGAGCATTTCCGTCATGTATCTGGTAGCCGCCTGAATGTCTTCTTGGGTGAAGTGCCTGTTCATATCCTTTGCCCATTTTTTAATTGGGTTGTTTGTCTTTTTATTGTCAAGGTTTTGCAGTATCTTGTAGATTTTAGAGATCAGACACTGATCAGACTTGTTGTCACCAAAACTTTTTCCCAGTCTGTAGGTTGTCTTTTTAGTCTTTCGGTGAACTCTTTTGATGAGCAGAAGTGTTTGATTTTTAGGAGCTCCCAGTTATCTAGTCTCTCTTCTGGTGCTTGTGCATTGTTAGTAATGTTCTGCATTCTGTTTATGCCGTGTATTAGGACTCTGAGCATTGTCCCTGTTTTTTCTTCCATGATCTTTATCATTTTTGATGTTATATTTAGGTCTTTGATCCATTTTGAGTTAGTTTTTGTGCATGGTGTGAGGTATGGGTCTTGTTTCTTTTCTTTTTTTTTTTTTTTGCTGATCGATATCCAGTTATGACAGCACCACTTGTTAAAGGGACTTGTATTTTCCCCAATTAATGGACTTTGGGCCTTTGCCAAATATCAGCTGCTCTTAGGTGGATGAATTTATGTCTGGATTCTCAATCCTGTTCCATTGGTCTATGTATCTGTTGTTGTCCCAGTACCAGGCTGTTTTGACTACCTTGGCAGTATAACAGGTTCTAAAATCAGGTAGTGTGAG